TTTTTTTTTTTTTTTTAATTAACAGTGTTTTTTGTTTGTTTTTGTACTGGGAATCAAACTCAGGACCTTGCACTTGCCAGGCAGGTGCTTGTGCCGCTGAGCTATATCCCAGGCCCTTTTTGTTTTTTTTGAGACAGGGTCTTGCTATGCAGTTCAGGCTGGCCCTGAGCTCATGTTGTAGCCCAGGCTGCTCTCGAACTCGCAACAATCCTCCTGCCTCAGCTTCCCAAGTGCTGGGATTACAGGCGTGCACCACCACGCCTGGCAGGGTTTTCACTTTTTTGATTGTTGATTTTGTATCCAGCTATGCTTGAATTTGGTTATTAAATCTAGAAGTATTTTAGTGGCGTTTTTGGGATCCTCTATGGTAGAGTATCACGTCATCTGCACATAATGATAATTTAACTTCTTCCTTTCCTATCCTTATTCCTTTTTATTCTTCATTCCTCCGTATTTCTAACTGCCCTGGCTTATGTTTCCTGAGTATTGAATAAGATTGGTGACAGTGGACTCCTTGTCTTGTTCCTGGCTTTAGAGTGAAAGCTTTCAGGTTTTGTCTGTTTGGCATGATGTTGGCTATTGCTTTGTCATAGATGGCTTTTGCCAGATTGAGATAAAGACCATCTATTCTAATTATCATGAATGGGTGCTGGATTTTGTCAAATGCTTTTTCTGCATCTATGTTGCTTAAGGAGATTGGCCTGTAGTTCTCTTTCTTTGTTAGGTCATTCTCTGGTTTTGGTATTTGGGAAGTGCTTGCTTCCTGGAATGAATTTGGGAGTATTGATTCCCTTTCAGTTTCATTAAAGAATTTGAGAAGTAGCAGCATTAGGTCTTTCCATTTCTTGTAAGTCGTTTTCTTTTTGTTTATTTTGGTTTTTTGAGACAGGGTCACCCTGTATAGTTCAGGCTGGCCTTGAACTCGCTATGTAGGCCAGACTGGCCTGGCACTCAAGGTGATCCTCCTGCTTCAGCCTCCCGAGTGCTGGGATGACAGGTGTGCACCACCATGCTTGGCTTTAAAAGTTTTGCCAGAGATGTTCTGGCTGTTTCTTGAGCCTGTCCTTCCCTGTTATTTGTGTTGCCTGCTTTATTGACTCTTTCTTCCTCAGTGTGTGATGAAGTTATTTCTGGGTTGTTGACCTGCATTTCTATTTTTGTGCTGGAGACATGGCCTCAGGTACTGCCAGTTTGAGGTGTGGACTGATACTGAGAAGGGCTTGACTGCCTACCCTGGTCCTCTGGCCTGTTTAGATTTCCTCCCTCGCTCACACCCTCCCTTCTCTCTCCCTTCCCGTCTCCCTTTCTCCCCCTCTCTTCTTTCTTCCCTCCCTTTTTTTCTCTTTTCCTTTCTTTCCATTTTTTCTCTTCCTCCCTCCTTTCCTTTCTGACTCCCTTCTACACTGGGGATTGAGCTGGGCGTGGTGGCGCACACTTGTAATCCCAGCACTGGGCGACTGAGGCAGGAGGATTGTTGTGAGTTCGAGACCAGACTGGGCTACAAAGTGAGCTCAAGGCCAGCCTGAACTGCACAGTGAGACCCTGTCTCAAAAAGACAGAAAAAAAAAACAAACCAAAAAAAACATACTGGGGATTGAACCCAGGACCTTGCACATGGCAGGCATGCATTATACCACTGAGCTGCAGCCCTGGCTTGCTTCATTCATTTGTTGTGGTACTGGGGATTGAACCCAGGGTCTTTGCACTGAGCTGTATTTTGACCTTTTAAATTTTTATTTTATGTTTTATTTTGAGACAGGGTCTTGCTAAATTGACTAGGTGGAGCTCAAACTTGTGATCCTTCTGTCTCAGCCTCACAAAGTGCTGGGATTACAGGCATTCACCACTGTTCCTGGCTCCATTTTCTTTATTTTGAGATAGTCTCTTTTTTGTTTGGTTCTTGGTTTTTGTTTTTGTTTTTTTGTCTTTTTTGAGACAGGGTCTTGCTATGTAATTCAGGCTGGCCTTGACCTCACTTTGTAGCCTAGGCTGGCCTCAAACTCCTCCTCCTGCCTCAGCCTCCTGAGTACTGAGATTACCGGCGTGCGCCACCACGCCCAGCTTGGTTTTGTTTTTTGAGACAGGGTCTTGCTGTGTAGTTTGGGCTGGCCTTGAACTCACAGCAATCCTGCCTCATCCTCCTGAGTGCTGGGATTACAGGTGTGAGCCACCACACCCTGCCAACACAGACTCAGTAAGTTATTCAGGCTGACCTCAAATTTGCAATCCTCCTTCCTCAGCCTCCCTCGTAACCAGAATTATATGTGTGTGCCACCATGCCTAGCTTTAGATTTTCCGCTAGCACAGAGCTGCTTTGGCTTTGCAGAACAGTTCTTCATACTTTTCTGGGTGGTCACTGAGAGTATGTACAGACTGGAGAGAGTGGGTGTTCAGGACCTATTATTTGGGTCATTCATTGCTGAGAATCTAGTTATCTTTATATAGGTGATCATTAACGGGAAAGAAAGACTCAAGACCACCATGAACTTGGGGTGTTTTTAGGCATATTTGCCTCTTTGGTGTCAGGCAAAGACAGCAGGGTTTCTATCCCAGAAGCAGGTCTCTCCCTACCTCATCCTCATAATTTCTCTAGGCCTTTTACCCTTCATTTGGGATGGAAGGATAGAGCAGCCATGTGCTTAGCCCTGAGGTGGGGGCCGGTCCCTCTTGTCTGGTTCCGTTTTGCTCTGCAGCATCAGAAACGATGTGATAACATATGTAGTGTTAGACGCTGCCAAACCTATGCTAATTTGTTACACAGTAGGAAATTAACAGAGGGCTATTAGGGATCCCAGGCAGCTGGCATTCCATGTGTCACGGCATTCAGGAATTTGCAGTCTAAATCCTGGGTCTTTTTTTGGTACCAGAAATTGAACCCAGGACCTTGTGCTTGCCAGGCAGGCGCTTGTGCCTCTGAGCTATATTCCCGGCCCTAAGATCCTGGATCTTGAAGTCGCTAGCATGTGACGTGGCGTTGGGATACTGAAAAGATCATGTGTGATCCATTCCCATCCTCCATGGATTGTGTGGTCGGGAGGAGGCTGGTTGATGAGTCCAGCGCCAAGAGCAAGTCAGACCCAGCCGTGCCCACTTGGGTCTGCACAAGGCCTTTCTCCCGTCTCCATCGGCCCTCAGTATTCCTCTGCACCCCGTGCACTTATCCGCATAGCAGCCACACGTGCTTAGCAGGGCCCCCGAGCGGTTCTGTTGTGTGCCGGGTTCACCATCTCCTTTGCCGTGTGGCGCGGTCTAGTAGCTGGCAGGGTCTCCATGGAGATGGAGCAATGGGAGTCCGAAGGGCAGGTTGTCTGCTGGAGTCAAGTATGAAGTTCATGGCCGAGCCAAGATGAGTCTAAGACCCTCATTCTGGGGCGGGTGACAGTGGGGAGAAGGGAATTTTGCCGTGAAGGATCCTGTGGTCAGTCTCAGGAGGAAGCTGTGGTAGGGGTCCTTACTTGGATTTATACATCTGCTTTGTTACTTTTGGCCTCCCTTCTGCAGTACTGTGTATCTCACCCCCAAGCTATGACTCAGGTCACAGAGCAGTAGTGGGACACACCAAGCTCAGTGTCACCTCTGGGTCACTCTTGTGATATCCTGTCCCGACAGGCTAGTTTACAACAGAACATCCGGGACCACCCATTTTCCTGATGGTGTGGATGTGCGTGTCCCTGGCTTTGGGAAGACTTTCTCATTGGAGTTCCTGGACCCTAGCAAAAGCAGTGTGGGTATGTAGCTCTTACTCAAGGTCTCCACAGGACGGGGTTGGGGGCTCTGCTGGACTCCTAGAGTTGGAGGAACCCCCTTGGGTTCCTGTGAGACCCAGGTAGCCTGTGAGCTGTCCCTGATCAGTGTGGGCACAGACGCTTGTAGCCCTCCAGGGACCTCCTTTTTGGAGATGTTACATTGCTGTAGTGGCACGGTGTGGGTGGTTGGCACTGGCTGTGCTTTTTCTAATCCCCTGTGTGTCTGTCTCTAGGTTCCTATTTCCATACCATGGTGGACAGCCTTGTGGGCTGGGGCTACACTCGAGGTGAAGACGTCCGAGGGGCCCCCTATGACTGGCGCCGTGCCCCAAGTAAGATGTCACATTCATTCCCTCCCTGTGGTTTTGGGAGATAAGACAAGGTAGTCACGGCCACCGTGGTCCGTGGCTTTTCCTCTGGCCCTGGGCTCCTCTCTACCGTAGACCCCTCGTGTCCAGCCCAGCAGTCATAGCCCTGACAACCCCTGGTCATTCTTACCTTGTCCTTCCCCACGCGTGCAAAGGCGCCTGCACCTCTGAGCCCTGGGGTGGGGGTGGAAGAGGAACCTGTCATCCTCCCTTAATGGAATTTGGGCTTTAGCATCCTCACACCCACGAGACCTGGGTCTTACCTGAGGGACAGTCAGTGGTTCAGGCTCCAGGATCCCTCCTCCTGACCTCTCCTGACTTTTGCCCACAGATGAAAACAAGGCCTACTTCCTGGCCCTCCGGGAGATGATCGAGGAGATGCACCGCCTGTACGGGGGCCCTGTGGTGCTGGTGGCCCACAGCATGGGCAACATGTACACACTATACTTCCTGCAACAGCAGCCACAAGATTGGAAGAACAAGTATATCCGTGCCTTCGTGTCACTGGGTGCCCCTTGGGGGGGCGTGGCCAAGACCCTTCGTGTCCTGGCCTCAGGTAAGACCTGCCTGGCCCAGATAGGTGGCCAGTCCCAGAGGTGTCTTTCTCCTCACCTTGCTGTGCCAGTACCCTTCATATCTTCCTGGGATCATCACCCTTCTTTTTTAGAACTACCATTCTTTTTCTTTTTCTTCTTTTTTTTTTTGTTTTTTGAGACAGGGTTTCACTATGCAGTTCAGCCAGGCCTTGAACTCACTTTGTAGCCCAGGCCGGCCTCAAACTCAAAGCAATCCTCCTGCCTCAGTCTCTTTTTTTTTTGTCTCAGCCTCTTGAGTACTGGGATTACAGGCATGCACCACCATGCTTCAAATATTTTTGAAATGCCTAATTTTACTACATCTAATTTTACTTCTAGTTGATAGCCCTTGTGATCTATGTAAGATAATTTCTTATGCTTTGTACAGGTGATGGCATAAGTCTTGGTCACACAGGTACTTGCTGTTACACACACGTGAATGCACATACACTTGCACACACACATACACACACACACACACACACACACCCCACACATACAACATATAAACACACATATACAGTAGCCTGGCTGGCTGAACTTGTTTTATCCAAGGTTCTTTGAGTACCCTCTTACCCCATCCTCACTTCTTTATCCTCACCTTTGCACCAGAGGAGGAAAACTGAACTACCGCTTCCTGTTTACGAGTTACACCTCCTTCTTGGGCAGCGGGGGGACCTCTGTGGGCAGTGCGGTGAGGAAGCAGGTGCAGATCTGGCAGTCGGGAAAGTCACCCCCTCCCTCTTCCTCGCCAATCTACTTGCCTTTTTATGGCTGTCATAACCTGCCACCTAGTGAGTTGAAGGCCATCCTGAACTACATAGTGACGTTTTGTCTTTAAGAAACACAACAAAAGAAAAAACTAATATAAGAACTTACCAGTGGTCTGGGAATATAGCTCAGCGGCACAGCTCCTGCCTGGCAAGTGAAAGGTCCTGAGTTTGATTCCCGGTACCAAATAAAAAAAAGAATCTACCAGTTGTAGCCTGGGTATGGTAGCACACGCCTATAATCTCAGCACTTGGGAGGCTAAAACAGGAGGACTGCTGTGAGTTCAAGACCACCCTGGGCAACAAAAAGAGTTCAAAGCCAGTCTGAACTGCACAGTGAAACCCAGTCTCAAAAAAACAGAAAGAAAAAAATAAACCTACCAGCTGTAGCCATAGGGCAGAGCTTACTACTCGAAGAGGAAACTTTCCACCCTCTGGCAGGACTGGGTAGGGGCCCTGTACGCCTTCACTTTGGGGACCATGAAGCAAGGCCATGCCAAGCATCTCAGGAGCTTTCTTCCACCCCTCACTGGCACTACCTGACCTGCTTGGACAGCTGATCGTTGTGATAGAGTCAGGCCCTGTGCTTCTCCCCGTGGTGACCTCAAGAGACTAGATAGTGCACGGCCCAGACTTTCAGATAATCCCAGCCACCACTTCTGTCCAGTGTGGATCGCAGAGTTCGGAGAGGGAGCCATGAGGAGGAGTTCAGGCTCCCGCCCCTTTCAGAGCTTCCTCAGAGTCCCCTTAGACTTTGCCTCAGATGCTGGGAAGCTTTTTTTGGCCCTGGTAGTCCACAGTTGGGAGTGAGGGCTGGGGAGGTGGAAGTCCACATACTCCCAAGGCTTCCCTGTCCTCAGGGGTCCTAGAGCCAGCCTTCCACAGGCAGAACTGAGGTGCCATGGTCTCCTTGCTTTTAGATACAGGGTGGGGGGATGATGGATAGCCATGGGGCCTATATTGGTCAGCTGCCCCTGATCCCAGTTAGGCCTCTGGCCCGCACTGGATTCACTGGTGGGTGGGTGTATCTGTAGGGTTTGGATTCCTGTGTGTAAATTGCAGCCTCCTCTGCCCTGTCTCCTTCAGGCCTGGCTGCCCAGGTCGTGCACAGGCAGAGGCTGAAATGGGACATGCTGACTAAATGCTGGTCTGAGCCTAAGAAAAGGAAAACATGTATACTATTCATTGTGATAAAATAGAAAAAGGACAATGCCTTGGGCTGTCAACATGCTCATCTGCCTGAGAGAGGGCAGTGCCCGAGGTGTGATAACCGAGGTGGGATGGTAACTGGGCATCCTTGGAGGAGGGCAGTGATAGATAACAGTACCCTTGAAGGAGGCTTCCCCAAGGGTGAGGAAACATAATAAATCGCCCTGGGGGAGGTGGTACCTAAATCTCTGGTGAAGAAATGCAAAAGAAACAAAACAAGGCTTGGATATTTCACAAATGTAGCAAAAATAATGGAAAACAATAAAATCCAGTGCAGGAAAGGAAGCTATATGATTAACATGATTAAGTACAGAGTGATTGGAGTACAGACTGGGCCACTGGCTCACACTGAGGGCCTGTACTGAACCTCCTGCCCAGCTAGCTTGTATTCCTCAGCATGGACTGACCGGCCCCTTTCCCTGTAGGAGACAACAACCGGATCCCTGTCATTGAGACGCTGAAGATCCGGGAGCAGCAGCGGTCTGCTGTCTCCACCAGCTGGCTGCTGCCCTACAACCACACTTGGTCACCCAAGAAAGTGTTCGTACACACACCTGTGACCAACTACACCCTGCGGGACTATCAGCAGTTCTTCCAGGACATTGGCTTTGAGGACGGCTGGTTCATGCGGCAGAACACAGATGGGCTGGTGGACGCCACGGTGCCGCCTGGTGTGCCTCTGCACTGCCTCTATGGCACCGGTGTTCCTACACCAGACTCCTTCTACTATGAGACCTTCCCTGATCGCGACCCTAAAATCTACTTCGGTGATGGTGACGGCACTGTGAACTTGGAGAGTGCCCTGCATTGCCGGACCTGGCAAAGACACCAGGAGCACCAAGTGTCTTTGCAGGAGCTCCCAGGCAGTGAGCACATCCAGATGCTGGCCAATGCCACCACGCTGGCCTATCTGAAACAAGTACTTCTTGGGCCCTGAGTCCTGTGCCAGGCAGGGTTGCTTGGATGGGTTGGACACGGCTTTCCTTGGCCTCTGAAGCTGTTAGGGATTATAAATTTAGCAAAGTTTGCAACCAGTCATTCAAGATCCTGGGTCTTGGGCTATGAAGCATCTGCCCTGGGAAGTATTATTGCTCATCCTCCGTCGGTGGCCATGAACAAGGAAATACATGAGTGTGGACTCCAGAGACCCTTGATGTAAAGAATGCTGCTGCTGCTGGAACTGTCTGTTACTCAGGACTGGCTCTGCATGGTGGGTTGGTTGGCACCTGGCCTCAATCCCCAGCTCAGGGGCCATGCATTCCTCTTAGCCCTGTGGGCTTTCCACACTCACCCACTGGGTCTTGGACTTCCCATGAGGGCTATACTGAGCTCTGTGACCCTCAGGTGACCCTTCCCATGCACTGGCCTCATACAGGCCTGCTACTAGACATGGGTGGCCGAAGCTGCTGCTTCCCTGTGGCCTCACTGGTGGACAGCCTGGTACCCCCTGCAGGCAGGGGCAGTTTTATTTTCCATGGCTCCCCAGGCTTGGGGCATTCATTTCATTCCTACCTCTCTCGCCTGCAGTAGCAGCCCAGTTGTGGATTGGGCGGCAGATGGCCACCAGGGGCTCTGATCTCTCTGGTTGTGCTGTGGGTTCCAGTATTAAATCTGGCTTCCGTGGCTCTGGGACTGTGGTTGAAGAAGAGCAGGGCCCAGTGCCCTGGCATTCTAGGTACCTATGGAGAAAGGGAACTCTTGAGGCTGCCTTGAGCTGCCCTCTTGTGAACCCCACTGCCAGCTTGCCATACAGTCTCAGCACCCAGCTGGGCTGGCACAGGGCTGAAAGGTGCTGGCGCTTCTGCTCAGTACCTGCTAATCAGTCAGTGGTTTTTAGAACAAAGGGGTGAACCCAGAGATTTAAGTGAGCCAGGGGGCTACGTCTCCCCAGGTCTGCGGTCTGCTCCAGGGGTGCTGGATGGGTCTCCCCATGATAGCAGGGAGGGAGAGTCTGAGCCTACTTACTGGCAGTAGGCTGTAGATGGGTACCTGGCCAGAGGCTGAGACTTAGGTCCAGCCTCAAGACTGAAGTCTCAAAACCACCGTCAGGCTGGACTGTGCCTCTCTCCCGCAAGGTTTCTTGGAGCTGGATTTTTGCTGTTGTGTATGTGCCCAGCATCTGTCTCCTTTTGTCCTGAGTGATGGGCTCCGTATGGGGCTTGAGCAGGATGTACCTCGATTCTGGCAATAAAGTATTCTGGATGCTGTAAGGTGTCCTAGTCTCGGATCTGCTTAAGCATGGGAGAGGAGAGGTGGTGGGTGTATGAGGGCACTAGAGCAGTGGGTAATCGGGCTGGACCTTTATCTCAGTACCAAAGCATGACTCCTGGGCCTTTCTTTGGAGTTCGTTCTCTTGCCCTCTGTCCTGAAATCTAGTTCCCCTTGAAGCAAGAAAACATTCTTCTTGGAATAGGGCTCCAGCTCTCTCCCAGCTCCTGCTTGGTGAGCAGGCCCCACATGTTGCCAGAGAGCTTGGGGACAAGGACAGTCCTACAGATCACCCTGGCTAGACTCAACCCTTCTTGGCCTCTGTCCTCTCTCAGCTTGCAGGTTTCAGATGCCACCCTTAGTTTCTTCAGCTCATCTGCCTGCCGTATGTCCCGCTTTGGGGATGGAGCCTGAAGGTGGACGAGAGACTATGCTGAGATTTAGGGGCAGAGAGAGGTGGGTAGAGACAGGGACCAAGAGATACCCACATGGATTTGGTTTTTTTGTTTGTTTTGTTTTGTTTTCTGGTACTGGGGATCGAACTCATGACCTTGCACTTGCTGGGCAGGCGCTGTGCTGCTGAGCTAAATCCCTAGCCCCAGACCCACATGGAGATGTATGAAGAGTCTGAGACAGGGAACCATGCATAGGAATGGGGTTCCAGGTCGAGCTTTGTGGTGCAGAGTCTTTTCTGCACTGAGCTACACCAGCCTGATCTCAACATGGGCCACTAGAGGGCACTTTGGATCATCTCGCCACACCACCTATAATACGGTGTTAGCCAGATGTGGAAGGAAGGGGTGGCCTTGAAAGGGGTGAGGATGCCCAAGGACACTCAGGTCCAGTTGCAGCTTTGGCCTCAGTAAAAGGATGACAACATGGCAGCAAGCTTCATTTCCAGGTCCTTCCCAACCTGAAACCCACCCACCCACCCACCCATGCTATTGTTTGTGGTGGCCTTGTAGCCACCCACACCAACCTGTTCTAGCTCCACCGCCACCATGGGTTTCACAGCTGCAGAAGGCATGGAGTCAGAGCAGACTTCAGGACCAACATACCTGGGTTCAAATCCCAGCTCTACTAGCTCAAGTCCAGTAACCTGGGGAGTCTCCTGACCCCCCTGAGCCTGTTTCCTCATCTGAAGGATAAAGAAATGTATCCTGCAGGGTGGTCCTAGGAGCGGTGATGATTTTGGAGAACATCGGATTCAACGCCTGGTGCACTGGAGGCTTTCAGCTGATAGGCTGGTGTGAGAAAGCAAAGTCAGCAGTCTAGGAGCCAGCAGGCTTTTGTATGAAGTCGTTGCAAGGAAAGAGGACTGGTTGCCATTGAATAATATGATCATCCAGAGCTATCCCTCTGCCTGGCCAAAGAGACTGGAGGAACAAGTCCAGGAGATGAAGGATCAGACTCTACCGACCCAGATACGTACATACACGTTTACACTAAAGCAGAGGGCCACACCAAGGGCAGCACCAGAAGACGACTCCTCAAGGATTGTCATCCCAGGCCTTTAGGGAGGAGGGTGGAAGGGTTTTTTGGCAGAGGAGATATGAAGTCATTCCACTCTGCATTTTAGCAGCACACCCTGAGGAGCGGGCTGAGTTACAGGGCACAGGATAAGGATTGAGAGCCTACTGTATCTGGGGAGAAGGAAACCATGGGATGCAGGCCTTGAGGGAGGAAAAGTAGGAAGGGTCTGAGTAAGGCCTTCCTGGTCGGGCCGGGGTGGAAGGAAGCAAGGGTTTGGGTAGGGTCTGAGCCAGATGATGCGCAGTTCTGGGCACAAGCCTGGGAGCAATGACTGCACGGCCCAGGAGAGAGTAAGTATGTGAGACGTGGACAGGATACCAAGGAAGGGAGAGGGCCCAGGAGCCCATGAGATCAGGAGCCTGGACAGAGTCCAGGAGGTACCAGGAGAACCAGGAAGGACAGGAAGAAAACAGTCAGGAGGGCACTGCTCTCCCAAGAGGGCTGTCTTCAGGGTCAGGCAAAACGAGGACAGAGTCCCAAGGAGGCCTGAGGTTGGCCAGGGGAGCCCACAGTGTCTGTGTCTGCGGGTCTCAGAGGATCTGAGGCTGAGCTGTGGGTGGACAAACCCTAGGGGTGTGTTTCTTCCCGGGGCACCTAGGTAGAGAGCTGGCCATGACCTGGGTGTGCAGGCAGGAGCTCCTCGTGTAAACTACCTCGGGTCCTCCCGGGTGTGGGGCTGGCCAAAGCCCACATGGAAATAAAACGTGCGGGCCCTTCAGAGCTCCGCGCAGGTGCATCCCCAGGTCGAGGCCCTCGGAGATGCCCCGTGACTGCGTGTAGGCTCGGGGAGTGGCCATCCACGGCGAGGGTCCTGGTTTGCAGGCTGGGACGGCCCGAAGCGGAGCGGCGACCTCTGGAGTCCGGAAGCGACACCGTCAGCGGCGGGGGCGCTGAGTCCTGTCCCGACGCGGCGCGTCCTGTCGCGATCCGGCGGCTGGTGACGTGGCGAGGGCGGGGCCTGGCGGCCTTGGCGGAGCGGCGGAGCATCCTGAGCGCGCCTGGTCATCGGAGGTAACGGGCCGGGCCGCGGGAGGACGGGGCTGCGGGGCGCCGGAGACACCGGGACGAGGGACGCAGAGCCGACGCGGCTGAGACCGCGCCTCGCGGGAGCCGACCGCTGTGCGCAGCCGCCGCCGCGAGCGGGATGCCGGCCGGAAACGGCGCGGGGTCGCCGGGCCTCCTCCGCGTGGGGGGCGCCGCGGCCGAGAGGGTGAGGCTGGGACGGGAAGGAGGGACTTGCAGGGTGCGGGTGAGTTCAGGGGTGCGGGAGACCCCGCGTGTGTGAGAGTGTGTGCGCGCGATAGAGGGACGGGGGTCTGAGGGTGGCTTTGTGAGTGCGGGGGAGACTGCGTGTGTGAAGAGAGAAAGACCACGGGTGTGAAGGCGACTTGGGGGGAGTGTGAGGGAGGTCGTATGTGAAAGGAGGACCGCGGGCGTGAGGCTGACCGTTGAGTGTGTGAGCGCCGAGGGTGAGGGAGATGGTGAGAGGGGAGGAGGTGGTGTGCGAGAGAGCCTGGGTGTGTAAGGCTGAATGTGAGACAGACCGAGAGCCCGAGCGGGCGACTCTGCGAGCGTGAGCAGGGCCGAGGGTGCAAGGCGTGAGTATGCAAGGCAGAAGCTAAGCTTCGCGGGGCTGCTGCAGTCTGCTGGCGTCGGGACTTGGAGCTCGGGAACGGGCTGCTCCTCCTCACTGTGGCTCTTCCGAGCGGCTCCCTGCGTCCTGCTGTCTCATTTGACTATCTCAAGGTAAATACCGGGAGGTATTTGTGACACACATTGTGAAAACTCTCCACTGAGCCCTAAGCCAACAGTCTGGTCACCGTGTTGTGTAATGGTCAGTATAAATAGGAATCAACATCTAGCTTAACAGATGTCGTGAAGAAACTCCCACGGGCGCTGGGCAGTGTGCTCAGTGACACAGTTAAAAAGAATTCCGGCTCTCCCCGGCCCTGGACGCAGTGGGGAACGCTGCCCCGCCAGCTAACCCAGCAGCGTTGTGGCAGAATGCTCAGCCCTTCGGTGCCTTATTTCTGAGCGCTGCTTCCTTATTTGAGGATGGAGGAGGAGCAAACTTAAACCTGTGACTACTTCCTGAGGTCATTTTCACCTCTTTTTGCCTGGTGGGGCCCTTCGAGAAACTCCCCAGGCTGCCCGCATTCCTGTTGTCCCACTGTGGTGGTACGTTATGGCTTTTACTTCCTGAATCTGGTGGCAGACTGTTATTTGAGCTGATAAGTTTGATTTTCCTTTCCTGGCAAACGTGGGAAACCACAAGCCTGATTTTCTCTTATCTTCCTTGCTTCTACCTCCTTCCTTTATCTGGCTGTGGACATGTTGTTATTACAGACTAAAAGTGTATACCAGTTATGAGTCTGATCTTTCTGCTGTTTGTTTTAACTTTCCTTTCCTCCTTTCCCTCCTCCTTCTCTCCTTTCCTTTCCTTTATTTTTCTTTATTAGCGATCTATTTGCTTCTTTACGTCTCTAAATTGTGGAGCTGTTTCTACAAGTTATGCAAATGGTGCTGCCAGGATTTAGGAGGGTAGGGAGCAGCAGCTGCCTAGACACGCATGATTTGAGATGACCAGAGTAGTTTTCTGATGAAGTATGAGCTGATTGCTTCAGTCATGTTGTCCTTGTGACTATGATGGATCTCAGTAATGGAGGGCTGCCTCTAATGGGGATGTAAAATTTAGATTTTACAAAGGAAAATATCCTGCTGCACTATTTTTTCTTCCTTTCTTTCTTTCTTTCTTTCTTTCTTTCTTTCTTTCTTTCTTTCTTTCTTTCTTTCTTTCTCTCTCTCTCTTTCTTTCTCTCTTCTTTCTTCTCTTTGTTTCTCTCTCCCTCCCTCCCTTTCTTTCTTTCTTTTTTGCTGGTCTCAAACTCAGGTGATCCTCCTGCTTCAGCCTTCTGAGTGTTGGGACTACAGGTGAGCACTGTAACACCAGGCTGGGATTTGCTTTTTTAACCTAATCTGATACTGTCTGTTACTTGATGTGTTTAGATCATTTATATTTAATGTCAGTAATGATATACCTAGATTAAAATCTGCCCCCTTAGTTTTTTGTATTTATTCTATGTATTCTTTGTTCCCCTTTTCTTTTTCTGCTTACTTTTGTATTATTTTTCATGATTCTGGGTTTTTTGTTTTATTTTTCTTACAGTATGGAGATTGAACCTAGGGCCTTCAGATTGAGCTACATCACCAGCTCTTTTTTATTTTTAAATTTTTTTGTTTGTTTGTTTGTTTTTGGTACCGAGAATTGATCTCACAATCTTGTGCTTGCCAGGCAGGCGCTGTGCGCTGAGCTAAATCCCCAACCCCCTTATTTTTAAATTTGAGGCAGTCTCCCTAAATTGCCTAGGTTGGGCTCAAACTTGCAATCCTTCTGCCTCAGCCTCCCAGAGTGCTGTGATATAGGCATGAACCATACCTGAATCATGGTTCTCTTTTATCTCTATTGCTGGCTTATTATTTATACCTTTTCTTTTGCTTGCTTTTTGTGATTGCCTTAGTTTTACAATGTATGTGTGTATGTATGTATTTCTTTTGGTCACACTAGGATTGAACCCATAGCCTTTTACATGTTAGATAAGTGCACTACCACTGAGTTATACCTTCAGTTTTGTAAATCTTTAATTGTTAACAGTGTGCTTTTAAGTAGTCCTATATTGTTTTATTTATTTATTTTTTGGTACCGGGAATCGAACTCAGGACCTTGTGCTTTACCAGGCAGGTGCTTATACCGCTGAGCTATATCCCCAGCTCAATCCTATATTGTTTTACATGTAATATAAGAACCTTGGAAAAGTATACTCCCATTCCTTCTTCCTATTCTTTGTGCTATTGTCATCAGATGTTTTACTTTTACATGTGCTATAAATCCATAGTCTATTGCTACTGCTTTTGCTTTTGCCATCAATTATATTCTGTATTTTTGGTTTGGTACCAGGAATCAAACTCAAGACCTTGCACTTGCCAGGCAGGCGCTGTGCTCTTGAGCTGTATCCCTGACCCCATCAATTATATTCTAAGCAATTAAAAATAACTTTTGCCAGGCATGGTGGCACATGCCTGTAATCCCAGCACTTGGGAGGGTAAGGCAGGCAGAGTGCCACACATTTGAGGCCAGCCTGGGCTACAAAATGAGTTCAAGGCCAGCCTGAACTACATAGCAAAACTCCATCTCAAAAAACCAAAACAAATAATAACAACAACAAAACCCCAAAAACCAACAACAACAACAACAAAATTTTTTTTGTCTTTTTGAGACAGGGTTTTGCTATGCGTTCAGGCTGGGCTTGAACTCATTTTGTAGCCCAGGCTGGCCTCAAACTCATGGCAATCCTCCTGCCTCAGCCTCCCCAACTGTGGACAAACCAATTTTATTTTATTTTATTTTACTTTTTTTGTTTTTTTGTTTTTTTTTCTGGTAATGGGAATTGAGCTCACGACCTTGCGCTTGCCAGGCAGGCGCTGTGCCGCTGAGCTAAATCCCCAGCCCTGACAAACCAATTTTAAAGAAATGTTTGCCAGGGATATAGCTCAGTGGCATAAGTGTTTGCCTGGCAAACCTGAGGTCATGAGTTCAACTCCTGGTACCAAAAAAAAAAAAAAAAAATGTTTACTTCATCTTGTTTGCAGTTGTCCCATATCTCTTAGATGCTTGCCCATTTTATTTTTTTCCATTTTGACTTTTATGATTTATTTTATGGAGAAATTCCATGTTTATTCCCACCTGCTGTCTAATTTTTTCATTACAGCCTTTATCATATTAATCATAGTTATTTTATTTTATTTTATTTTTGGCAGTACTGGGGATTGAATCCAGGGCTTTACGTATGGTAGGCAAATACTCTACCACCATCATAGTTTATATTACCTGTTTGATGTTTTCAATATCTACGTCATCTCTAGGTGTGGTCCTATTGATTACCTTTCATCTTTGTTTTTTTTTTTTTTAGTACTGGAAATCAAACTCGGGACCTTCTGCTTGCTTGCCAGGCAGGCGCTTGTGGGGCTGCGCTATATCCCCTGCCTAATTACCTTGCATCTTGAGAGCGAGTTGTTTTTCTTGTTCTTTTTGTGTTGCTTATAGTATGTTATTGACTGTCAGGCAGTGGAAGAGTGGAGACGGGAATTTATTCTGGGAAGTGAGTATGCCTCTTTTGTGAGGTTGTTGGTAGGAGAGTTTGAGTCAGTTAGGATTAGAATTGTGTTTGGGGTTTAGTTGTTCCTATGGTACTGTAGAGAACCACATGTTCAGTTTCCTCTGGTGGCTCCTTGCACGTAGGGCTGGTTTGCTTTGCTGGAAGGGAGGCTGTGTTTTAGTTCATGCTCTACCTCTGCTTTAGCTCTTCTCAGGGTGCAGTCCACCACCCTCGCAGTGGCAGACTGCCATTGCTTGTGCCTGGGTGCTTGCTAACCTAGTCCTGGGGAATAAGGAGATTCTCCATCATCCAGGCCCAACCCCAATTTTAGGGAGTATGTCCTTGAGTCTTGGGGGTAGATCTTTCTGGGTGATTCTGTCCTTCCTATGATTAGGACACCTTCAGTGGTCTTGGCCAACATTTCCTGACCTTCTCCCAGACAGAGGGGGTTTGTTTTCTTTTCTCCTGGCCCAGCTGCCTTGGGAGTAAAGTGCCTTTTCTCCAGGGGTTTACAGCAATTCAGTATTCATTCCCTTTTTAGCACTTGGGATTGATACAGCTCCAGCCTTTTTTTTTTTTTTTTTACTCTGTATTTTGAGACAGGATCTTGCTAAATTGTCCAGGCTGAGCTTGAACTTGCAATCCTCCTGCCTCAGCCTTCCAGATTGCTGGAATTATAGGTGTGCACCACCATGTCCAGTTAATTTATTAAAAATTGTACTTGATTTTTCTTATCCATTGTATAGTGATGACGTTTTTCCCACTACACAGGTAAGCTGGACTTTGAATCTCTCTCTCCCCGCTGTCTTCCCTTCAATTTCAGTCTAGTTCATTGGACTTGTAACCCTGTTTTCTAGTAGTTTCAAAAAAATATGGTTTTAGGCTATCATGGCTTTCTTCATCGTAGCCACCCCCTTCCTCCAGGTAGCACTTTTGCTTTTTTCCTCTTTTACTTGGCTGGAGCTCTCTCTGCAGAGCCAGTTTCTCTCACTTTTCATTTTTACTTGTTCAAATAAACTTTGTATTGTTTAAAAAAATATGCTTTTATAGGTTATCTCACTTTTTCTTGTCACTGGAATGAGAACAATGTTTTTTCCACCTTTCTGTATTCTAAATGAATAGCTTATGAAATGAGTTTACCTCTCTTCTTTCCTCCTGCTCCTTGCTTCCAGAATTTGTCTTGCAGCATGGTTAACCCTGTTCACAAAGACTTCATATTTTATTGAAGAGTTTTATATTGTTTAATTTGATGTTCACAGGTCAGTAGGGCTAGCTGGGGCGTAGTGGCTCACACCTGTAATCCCAGCACTCGGGAGGCTGAGGCAAGAGGATTGTGGCCTGTTGAAGGCTAGCTTGGGGTACATAGTGAGTTTAAAGCCAGCCTGGACTACATAGTGGGACCCTGTCTCAAAAAAACAAACAAACAAACAAACAAAAGGGTTAGAAGCCAGGCGTGGTGGCACATGCCTGTAATTCCAGCACTTGGGAGGCTGAGGCAAGAGGATTGTTGTGAGTTCAAGGCCTCCCTGGACTACAAAGTGAATTCAAGGCCAACCTTAACTGCTTATCAAAACCCTGTCTCAAAAAGACAAAAAAACCCCCAAAAACTAAAAACCAAAAAACAAACAGGTCAGTGAAGCTGTTTGGGAAGACTAAAGGTGAGGTGCAGGTTGCTGGTGACTTCTGGTCTCTGCCTATGGGACTTGTGATCCTGTGTGTGTCTCAGGTCCTTGTTGATGTACTGCCTGCTGTGTGTTCTGTGAGGGCATAGTCTGTACTGATCTGGTTAACTCTGTCCCCAGCACAGAGCCTGGCTTAACATAGGTGCTTTGTAGATTTTGTAGAGTTGTGTGAGGTGTGGTTTAGCTATCTGAGGTGTGATTGTAAACTGTGGTGAATGTTTAATTTTTAAGAATTTATCACAGTAAAAGACACATTGCCAGTACTCCCCCTCAGAATACTCCGGCTTGCTCTGCACATACTTACCCTGTTTTCTTGCCACTTTCTGAAGCAGTTCTGGAAGTCCTCTTCTGTGAGTGTCTTTGGTTGTGCTGCCCTAGCTGCCTTGATGTCCTGAATCAGTTAAAAATGTTTACCTGTCATGGTCACACTGACTTTGTGGAAGAGCCAGAAGTTGCATGATGCCAGATCTAGTGAACGAGGTGCATGAGCACACACCATAATGTTTCCATGAGCCTGCCTCTTTGGATGATACGCAGTAGCAGCCTTCACTATTTTTTTTTTTTTAGTCACTTTTTTTGCATGTGTGTGTGCTCAGGATTGAACCAGGGCCTTCCCACTGAGCTGCACTCGTGGCCCTTTTTTATTTTTTTATTTTGAGACAGGGTCTCACTAAATCACTCAGTTGCCCAGGTTGGGTTTGAACTCCCAATCCTCCTGCTTCAGCCTCCCAGAGTTCTGGAATTAAAAGCATGTGCCACCATGCCTCAGAAGACATGAAAGAGGACTTCCAGTAGAGCTGTAGAAAGTGGCAAGAATAATAGGACAAGCATGTTTGATGTAAGAGGGAGTAATCTGAGGAGGTTTAATGGTCTTTTACTGTAATACATTTTTTAAAAATTTAAACATTCACCCGGATGTTTAATCCTGCCTTGTAGAGGAGAGGTGAAGGATGGCCTTGGGATTGTGTGGCCAGTGCAGCCTAGGACTTAACCATCTGTTCTCAGGGAGCTCACTGAGGTTACATCACAACTCTGTGCCTGGGTGTTTACCTAAGAGATAAGGACTCTAATTACTTTGGCCAAGGACAGGCCTCTATTGACAATTATATTATGTTATTGAATGAAGATAAAGAAGCCTTACCCGCTCTCAGTTGTATGTGACTGAGTCCTTCTGAAAATCCAGCAGGAACCTTGTCCCTTATTCAGGTGCTAGGGCTGAGATTTTAGGCAAGAGATTTTATGGGACTGTGACTATACCCTGCCCCTCCAAATAAGCCATTGGGTACTGTAGTTTCACTAGTGAATAGATGTATTTAGTAAAGCCACATCAGAGACACCTGTGTCAGGTTGTAGGCTGCTGAAGGAACACCTAGCAGTCCCAGCCCCCAGCCCTGGATCTCCACATCGGGTCTGATGAAACAGAGGACGCTGGCGTGGCTATTGGGGCTGGGCTTCTCTGCTTATCTCCGTTGAGTTAGGTAAGAAGGCAAAGTCACGAAAGGTGAATTTGGTCTCTGTGCAGCTGACTTTTACAGGAGAATAAAGGCTTCTTAGCTGTTTACGGATTTTGTTGCCAGGGATGCCTGGGGGCTCACCTGACAGACATGTGACAACAAATATGTTCTGAGCTTGCATAGGGAAACTCATATGACTTGGAGCCAGGAGAGAAAAGAAAAGTGGTACTACCTGAAAGCCCAGCCCCATATAAGCAGAAGTAGTTGTTGTTGGCCTGGGGAAGGCTACTAGTACCCTAGAGGAGCTTTTTCACTTGGGCTTAGGTTCAGACTCTGGAAGGGGACTAAGACAGGTAAGGTACGAATTTAGGGTGGGGGTTTGTGGAATTGGAGTTTTCTCTGAGAACTTCTTACTCTTGAATGACTAGTTCCTTTGCTCTGAGCTCAATGCAGCCAGACCTAGCACATAAATCTATCCCAGGTAGATGAGAAGCTTTTGGGAAGATAATAAACTGATCCTGTTTGTGTGTGTCTGTGTGTGTATCGGGGTGGGGGGGGAGTTGATACTAGGGATCGAACCCACGGTCTCATGCGTGAAGCGAGCACTGTACCACTGAACTACATCTTTGGCCCTTTTTAATTTTTATTTCAAGACAGGATCTCGCTAAGTTGCCTACAGTGGCCTTACCTCATCATCCTCCTGTCTCAGCCTCCTGAGAGGCTGAGATTAAATGTATGTGCCACTATGCCTGGCCTGATGTTGTTCTTATCACTGGAAGTTATCCCTGTGATCTTCAAAGATTGACTCTTGGGTGGGAATCACATAGCTCACTAGATTCCTTCCTCTAAAAGATGAAGTAGGTTTAAGGGGTCTGAAGCATGACCTGCACAGGAATTGAAGATGTGGTGTCAGAAAGGTGCTTATCTTTTTTTTTGTTTTTGTTTTTCTTCCAGTACCAGGAATCGAACTCAGGTCCTTGCACCTTGCACTTGCCAGACAGGCACTTTGCCACTGAGCTAAATCCCCAGCCCCGGTGCGGTGCTTATCTTCTGATACATTCTGGGTCCTTCATATGTAGGTTAATGTGGAATTCAACTTCCTTGAGGTTTCTATGTTAGCCCAACTCTAATCCAAAGGTAGTGGATGTCTGTATGCCATCGCACAACAGGATGCTTTCCAAAACTAGGTCCGTGACTAACAGAAGCCTTAGAGCTTGGGTGGGAAGATTTCTGGGTACTGTTCTGGGAGAATCTCTGCAGCCCCAGATGTTAATAAGGGATAGTGGGAGGAGGACAGCAAATAAGCCAGTGGCAAATTAGGCCCAGGTGATGTTGCCTTTGGGTGTTCTTTCTCTATCTTGTTTTATTATCTAATATCTTTCTTTTGGGTATTTAAGAAAAGGAAGGTGTTGAATAAGCCAGCAGCAATTTGAGGAAGGTGGGTGTTATAGACATAGCAACACCAGGTGTATGTTTTCTCTTTTTTTGGAGACAAGGTCTTGCTATGTGGTTCTGTAGTTCTTCTCTGTAGTTCATAGTACTCACTGTGTAGCCCAGGCTGATCTCAAACTCACAGTGATCTTCCAGCCTCCTGAGAGCTGGGATTACAGGCATGTACCACCACGCCCAGCAAGGTGTGTATTTTTGTGAAGATCCTCTCCTTGGTCCAGTTTCTGCAATAGCAGAAATACTCTTGCCTTATCATTTTGGCCCTTCCCTGCACCTGTGCATGTTCTTTGCTGGTTAGTGAGAAGTTGCAGCTATACCTCTGCAGGGCTGGGCACTGCAAAAGTCCCTTTTTTCTTTTTTTCCTTTATGAGACAGGGTCTCGCTATGCAGTTCAGGCTGGCCTGGAGCTCACTTTGTAGCCCAGGCTGGTCTCAAACTCCCAACGATCCTCCTGCCTCAACCTCCTGAGTGCTGGGATTACAGACATGTGCCATCATGCCCGGTTCTTTTGTGTGTTTTGAGTGCTGGGTCCTTCTTTGTGTTAGAACTGAGTGGGCAGCATTACTTTGCATGTATAATGAGAGACCTTTCAGGCAAATGAGAGGTTTATATCTGGTGCAGGGACTCAGGTCTTCTCTCTCTCTTTTTTTTTTAGGTCTTCAAGGCAGGTTTGTGGGTTTTAAGCTAGGAAGAGGAGAGTAAAATCAATGCCTAGGCAGAATCTGCGCTGTGGACTAACCCAGTGCCAGGCTACCGTGCAGTAAGTCAGATATTTTGATGGAAGTCGAAGCTTTCACGATTTTTTTTCCTCAGGAGCAGTGGAGGCCTGATAGTTCTGTCTCCCTGTTTATTGTGGCAGGAACTCAGGCAGGCCTGTTTTATTGTGTGTGTGGCGTGTTGTCCTTCAGTGGAAGCAGACAAGTATCTGCCTGCCTTGGGTCTAAACCTGAGCTTTACTGGTTCCTGCCCTACACTTGACGTATTTGTTTTCTTTGCCAGGCCACAGTAAACACAGGTGTGCCGGAACTGTTTGCCATGGAAGCCAGGGAGACTGAGGACCCCATGCCCACCTACCATCTCCTCCCTGGTGCCAGCCAGCCCAAGGTGGAAGATGTCAGCTCACCACCTGAAGGGTCCCCGGAAACTATGCAGCTGAAGAAGGAGATCTCCCTGCTGAATGGGGTTAGCCTCGTGGTGGGCAACATGATTGGCTCAGGGATTTTTGTCTCTCCCAAGGGGGTGCTGCAACATAGTGCCTCCTACGGGTTGTCACTGGTCGTGTGGGCCATTGGTGGACTCTTCTCTGTTGTGGGTGCCCTTTGTTATGCAGAGCTGGGGACCACCATCACCAAGTCAGGAGCCAGCTATGCTTATATTCTAGAGGCCTTTGGGGGCTTCATTGCCTTCATCCGCCTGTGGGCCTCACTGCTAATTGTTGAGCCTACCAGTCAGGCCATTATCGCCATCACCTTCGCTAACTACATCATCCAGCCCTCCTTCCCCACCTGTGATCCCCCATACTTGGCCTGCCGTCTCCTCGCTGCTGCTTGTATGTGTAAGTATGGGGTCTCAGTGTGGGAGGGTGTGTGGGTGCCGTCATAGTGATACAGGTGCCTTATATTTGAATAATTCGTTTTGCACTTTTGGAGGAGGGGAGGGCTCTTACCTTTGGAAGTGATTTCACCAGAGTCATTTGCTCCTGAGAATTGAATATGCATAAAGGATGGGAATGAGAAAAGTTTGTATCTGTTCATGACTTTTGGTCCCTTAACTCTGGGAGGTCCCTGGATTCTGTTCGCCACTCTGTGACAGGGTTGGCATATGTCTTATATGAGGTCTTTTTTGTTTTGGCCAGATATTTTGATTAGTGTCAGCATCATTAGTTGTGACTTAACTCAGGGATGTCCCTGTCAAGGCCTTTATTACTTATTTTTTAAAAAGAGTTGTTTTATATCCCAGCTTTCCATCTTAAGCCAGTGTGAAGGCATCCATGAGCAGATAGGCTCCTAGACTGTGAAGGTCCCTTATCTCTCAGCCCCTAAGACCCCTCCTTTCTGCCACTGCCACGCCATGGCCTGGTGTAAGCAGCAGGTATCACACCATAATGGCTTTTTCCCACTGGTGTAAACCGACTTTGTAAACAAGCTATGCCCACAGTCAGTGAGAAGAAAATGGCTTCTACCCTACATTTAGGTTCCTGAGGATGGAGTTGAGAGATACCAGTGGCTCTCTGTATATCTTCCTCTGTCTCTTTTGGAGTAAGAAAGGGGGATTGTGTATGAAATCACAGAAAGGAGAGAAGGTTGCTGTGAACCTACCCAGCATACCTGGCCCAAAGATCGCTGTGTTTCTTAGCACTGTGCTATCAATAGCACTTAATTATACTATGTTGTTCCCTTACCTCTGCTTACAAAAGCTTTGGCTGTATGTACAGGTGTGACAAAATATATGGCACATACTTAAATTTTAAAAACTTAGCTGGGTGTGGTGGCGCACACCTGTAATCCCAGCATTCGGGAGGCTGAGGCAGGAGGATCGTTGTGAGTTTGAGGCCAGCCTGGGCTACAGTGTGAGCTCAAGGCCAGCCGGAACTGCATAGTGAGACACCGTCTCAAAAAGACAAAAAAAAAAAAAAACAACAAAAACCAAAAAAACACTTTATTACAGTAAAAGATGTATTAACATTAATCCTTCTCAGAGTATTCCCTCTTGCTTTGCACACACATGCCCCATCATTCTTGCCATTTTCTGAATCAGTCCTGGAAGACCTCATTTGTGTCTTTATGAGGTGTGATCAAAATATAGTAAATGCGGCCAAGTGCCATCCAACAGCAACAAAAACAAAACGGACTTACTCAGCAACGCTGACTGTTCCCCAAGGTCAGAGTGACCATTTTGAATTGATTCAGGACTTTGAGGCAGCCTCAGTGTTCTAAAGTAAAGATATGAAAGAGAACTTCTAGAACTACTTCAGAAAATGGCAATAATGATGGGATAAGGGTGTTGACAGCAAAGGGAGCCAGGTATGGTGGCACACGCCTATAGTCCCAGCACTCAAGAGGCTGAGGTAGGAGAACTGCCACAAGTTTGAGGTCAGCCTGGGCTACATAGTGAGTTGAAGGCCAGCCTGAGCTACATAATGAGACTCTGTCTCAAAAAGACAAAACAAGGTGGGTGTGGTGGCATATGCCTGTAATCCTAGCATGTGGGAGGCTGAGGCAAGAGGATCCCCGTGGGTCTGAGGCCAACCTGAGCTACAAAGTGAGTTTTAGGCCAGCCTGAACTGCATAGTGAAACCCTATCTCAGAAAGACAAAACAAACAGAAAAAAAGAAAGCAAAAGGGAATATTTTCAAGGGGATTACTGGCAATATGTCTTTTAATGTAATCATTTAATAGTTTTAAATTATTTACTGTATTTTTTTATCATGCCCTATATGTTAAAAATAGATCCAGAGTACCTTGGAGTTAGCAATAAAGGATCACCCAGCACACATTGTGCCTCTTGACTTTCAGGACTTTGTTGAAGAAAACAAAAAAGGGCATCTTTCTGCATTTTTTTTTTTTTTTGTGTGTGTGTGTGTTTTTGAGGCAGGGTCTTGCTATGCAGTTCAGGCTGGCCTTGAGCTCACTTTGTAGCCCAAGCTGGTCTCAAACTTGCAATGATCCTCCTGCCTCAGCCTCCTGAGTGCTGGGATTTCAGGCATGCGCCACCATGCCCAGCTTGATACATGCTTTTTTGGTACGGGGAATTGAACTCAGGACCTTGTGTTTGCCAGGCAGGTACTTGTACCATTGAGCTATATCCCCAGCCCTTAGGATTGGAATTCTGTAAGCTGCCTATCTCAGAAGCTCAGGTTTTTTGAGAATCCATATTTGAGAGCAAGAACTTTTCAGAACTAGGGCCAGTTCACAAAACCATGTTCCTTCTTAACTGAGTAGGCTTTTTGGTTGGCTACTGTATTTTCATTTTTGGAACTTAGGTCCTGGAATCAAGATTTAAAAAGAGCTAGGGTATGCTGGGAGGGAGTCCCTTTGCGTGTGTATGGCAGTGGGAGCAGCCTGATCTCAAGAGACATTACATGGAAGAGACCAGTTAGGTCATAATTCGGCGGGGGGAGGGGACCAAAGATCTGCAATGAATCCAGGGTGAGGCTTGGGAAGGATGAGAGAAGGAAGTTAGTCTGGAAATTGAGACGTAAGAGTGGTTCAGCCTAACTGAATACAAGATGCTTATATATTTCTCCATTGGATGAGTTTTTTGTTTTTTCTCTTTTTGGTACTGGGAATCTAACTCAGGACCTTGTGCTTGCCAGGCAGGCGCTTGTGCCACTGAGCTACATTCCCGGCCCTAGATGAGTTTTTAAAGGCACTTTTTTAAAGGCACTTCACACATACAGCATGTACTCCACCATTGAGTTACACCTCCAGCCACAAGCAAATGTTTACATTTGCTCCTGGTACTTTCTCAGAGGCTTCAATCAAAGAAAGTACTTAAATATCTCTGAAAATAAATGAATTCACAGTATTTTTATTTTTTTTGTTTGTTTGTTTTTTTTAATTGTTTTTTAAATGAATTCTTTTTTTTTTTTTCTGGTACCGGGAATTGAACTCACGACCTTGTGCTTGCCAGGCAGGTGCTGTGCCGCTAAACTAAATCCCCAGCCCCTTTTTTTAGTTTTTTTAGGCAGGGTCTCACTAGGTAGTTCAGGCTGGCTTAAACTTGCTTGTTAGCCCAGGATGTCCTTGAACTTGTGGTGATTCTCCTGCCTCGGCCTCCTCAGTGTTGGGATTATAGGCATGTGCCACCACACCTCACAGTATTTTTAAAGTGTAATACTCCTTTTAATTGGATATAATAACTGTACATGTTTTTGAAATGAATTAAAGTTACCTTAAATCATTTTTGAAGAAAGAGTGCTTCAGCTTGTTGGTTGGAAGACTACATGAAGAAGTTACAGCCATGAGAGGGTAGATTAAAATTACATTTAGAACAGAGGTGTACGCCTGTAATCCCAGCACTCAGGAGGCTGAGGCAAGAGGATTGTTGTGAGCTTGAGACCAGCCTGGGCTACAAAGTGAGCTCAAGGATAATCTGAACTGTATAGCCAGACTGTCTCAAAAAGAAAAAAAAAATAAAGAACAGAGGGCCCAGGAAGTCTCCACGTAATAAATCTAGGGCAAAGGCTAGAATTGGCCTACCGATGGATTTGTTAGGCCTGTGTGGTGTTTTAGTCTGTTTTGTTTTGCAGGACTGGGTATTGAACCTATTGCCCCATGCATGGTAGGCAAGCACTCTACCACTGAGCTATATCCCAGTCCTTTACATAATGTTTTAAGTAATTTTTAATTAGTTGCCAACATTTTAGAAATCAGGACTTACCCTTTCGCTTGGAAAATCAAAAGCTATGGCAACCTTGTACCTAATTTCCTGCCTGTTGCAATCAGCTGGATTTCAGTAGCTGTTCTGTAAATTTCTCAGAGAAGGTGGGTGTGGTGGCACATGCCTGTAATTCTATTGCTCAGGAAGCTGAGACAGGAGGATCACTGAGAGTTCAAGGCCAGCCTGGGCTACATAGTGAGTTCAAGGCCAGCCTGAACTGCATAGCAAGACCCTGTCTCCAAAACAACAAACAACAATGCAAAAAAAAAAAAAGTTTCCCAAAGAGATGTAAAAGGAGAAAAAAAGAGATGTAAAAGAAACATCTGCTTCAGAATTGAGAGGGCTCCAATGGTCTGAAGAATGACTCAGAAGTAAAGTAAGTGAGTTGTCAGGGGTTACTTAGGCAGTGGTGGACAGCTTATAGGCTGCAGCAATACTGAAGTCACCAACCCTTCCTTTGCTAAGTTACGCCTTTTGTGTGGTTTTAATTAAAACAGCAAAAACAGGATCAAAGACAAGAAGATTCCTTGGGGAAAATCATGTGTATTCTGTCCCCGTTCCATCCTTATCAGGAACTCAGCAATCTCAGAAGCACTGTCCAGCCATAGCGGTGTACCGCGGTATGGCACCAGCCTCCTCACTACAAAACGGAGATACTTTGGGTTTTTTGTTTTGTTTTGTTTTGTTTTGATTTTTGAGGTTTTTTTTTTTTTTGAGACAGGGTCTCTCTATATAATCCAGGCTGCCCTTGAACTCACTATGTAGCCCAGGATGTCCTCGAATTCATGTCAGTCCTCCTGCCACAGCCTCCCAAGTGCTGGAATTATAGGCATGTGCCACCATGCCAGGTTAAAATGGGGTTACTTTGGCTAGGCTTCAGAGGATCATTTTTCCTACATTGTTACTCGCTTTAAACGGAGTATACTCTCCCCAGTCCATTACCATTACCTCTACTTCCTCTCGTTTTATACCCAGACTTTTTTAACCCAGACTTCCTTGCCTTTGCCTATTTGTATTACTTTCTTGGCCCCAAAGCATTGCTGCTTCAGACCCTGGCTTTCTAGCTGCGATGCGCCCTTCTCAGGCTGCACGAGCAGGGAGATTCAAGCAGCTATTGAGGGATTTCAGGCTGTCTTGGCTACTTACTATCCTACAGTATTGGTTCTTGACTAG